GGCGACGGATCCATAAATTATCAGGCAAACATCCCCCCCATCCTGCACCCGTCCTCCATATTCGAGATACTCTCATCTCTGAACCTGTCGAAGTAGCTAATGAACTGGGCAACTATTTCAGCCAGGTCAGTAGTGGCTCTCACCTTTCCCCACACTTTTCTTCCATTAAAGCCATCAAGGAACGCATCCCTATTACCTTCACCCTATCCTCTGATGAGTCCTATAATGCTCCTGTTTCTTCTTCTGAACTCAGCGCTACATTACAGTCGTGCCTAAACACTCATGAAGGCCCTGATGGTATTCACTATCGTATGATCCGACACCTTCCATCTTCCTCTCTATCCTTCCTTTTAACTATTTTCAACCACATATGGACGTCAGGAAATTTCCCTTCACATTGGCGAGATGCTTTTATCCTACCTTTCTTAAAACCCAATAAATCAGGTACCCTACCCCAAGATTACCGCCCCATAGCTCTAACTAGCTGCTTGTGCAAACTACTAGAACGAATGGTTAACTTCCGTGTAATGTGGTATCTTGAATCTCGTAATCTCCTTTCTCCTTCCCAGTTTGGTTTCCGCCGTGCCCGAAGTACAGCAGACCCACTTGCCCATTTCGAGACATATATTACATCGGCATTTGCACGCCATGAATCCGTATTAGCCATATTCTTTGATCTAGAAAAAGCATATAATACCACATGGCGGTACCACATCCTCCAACAATTGACCTCCCTAGGTTTACGTGGAAACATGGGTGTCATCATAAAATCTTTCCTTGCTAAACGTACTTTCCAGGTCAAAATTGCCTCTTCCACGTCATCATCCTTTCCTCAATTCGAGGGCGTCCCACAAGGAAATGTGCTTAGTACCACTTTATTCCTTCTTGCTGTAAATGACACAGTCTCAATCCTACCACCAGGAGCCCAAGCATCACTATATGTTGATGATTTAACCATCTATGCATCTGGCACATTTATACCAGATCTCTGTCAATTCCTACAGTCTGCAATAACATCAATAACTTCTTGGGCCACCAACCATGGCTTTCGCTTCTCTACCTCCAAATCTTCCCCCATCCTTTTCTCTCGCTCACGTACGGTCCCTAAACCCCCACTCTTCTTATATAACGCTCCACTCCAATACCGTTCTTCTGGCAAATTCCTAGGCGTTATATTTGATTCCAAATTGTCCTGGCGAGACCATATCTTGTACATCAAAGAAAAAGCTCAACACCGCCTCCGAATCTTACAAACTCTTTCACACATCTCCTGGGGCTCAGATCGCAAAACTCTCCTCCATCTTCATGTTGCTCACCTTGATACAATCCACCACAGCAGTCTCTGCTTAGCCCTAGGCGCCTTTCACTCCTCTCCAGTTGAGAGCCTATATACTGAATCTGGCATGCCGTCCCTCTCTCGACGTCGAGCCCTTCTCTCTCTCCGATGCTATGCTCGATTTCACCAATTTTCCCTTACCAAACTAACTATTCCACAATCCTTGCTTCATACCTTTACCTCTTCTCCACGTTTACCAACTCCTCTCCCCGTACGCATGGATACCCTCCTCTCCCATTCCCCCTTTCCTCACTTCCGACCTCTCCCACTTTCTGTCCATTCCATTCCTCCATGGCTTTTACCTAACCCCTGTATCTGCTCCTCAGTTTTCCCTGACCCACCAAAATCAGATATTCCCCCCTCTATCCTTCTCACTCATTTCCTTGACCATGTCTCCATTCATTGCTCCAGCATTCATGTTTACACTGACGGTTCCAAATCCATCTCAGGAGCTGGATTCGCAGTAACATTCCCAAACTGCACTTTCAAATACACCCTCCCTCCTGAATCTAGTGTCCTTACTACAGAACTATATGTGCACTCCTTTTTGCTTTACGACGCATATATTCATCCCCCTCTTCCTCTTTTACTATTTTTACCGACTCCCATAACTCTTTAACCCTCATAAAGTCTATGCACTCGACCAATCCCCTTGTCTGTAAGATCCAGAACTGGTTGTTCTATCTATCCACACGTCACAAATCTGTCAGATTTTGCCGGGTACCCAGCCATGTTGGAATCCCTGGCAATGAACAGGCAGATACCCTTGCACGCTATGCCGCAATGTCCACATCACCTCAACTATGCCTCTCACATATTCCAGCTACGGATTATTACCCCAACTTTAAGACCTTCTTGTATACCCGATGGCAATCTATTTAGTCAAGACTCCACAACAATAAATTACATACTGTAAAACCACCAATCTCCTCTTGGTCAGCTCCATTTCACAAAAACAGACGGGAGACGGCCCTCGCACGCTTACGTATTGGCCACACTCGCCTAACACACGCCTATCTAATGTCACGCTCAGACCCGCCCTTATGTCCTCTATGTAACGTCCCTCTTTCAGTTCCACACATTCTCTTGTCCTGTCCACGCTTTAATACAGCACATACCTCTGCATTTCCACACCTGTCCTCCCTTCACCGACCTCCCAACATATCAGACATCCTTACAGAATCCCAAAGCTTCTGCCTTGACAACCTGTTCTCCTTCCTCAGACACATAGATACCCTTCACTTACCTAAACCACCATAACCTTTTCCCTCATCTTCAACCCCTTCAACACTACTCTAGATAGTTGACACATAGCAACTATCACCTGACATCCCCCTTTACTATACCTTCCTATAGTGCTATATGACCTTAGATGTCTAGCACATTTATTTTAACCATTAACAATGTCTTCAAGAGCAAATGGACAGAGTCCCCATCCGTACCCGACCCGATCGTTCCCGTCTTGTTACAGTTATATCTGAAACTGAAGCTATAGCATTGACAAATCTAACTGATTTCTCTGGCAATCCTATTTCTGCAGAACCTCACCCAGCTTTTAATCCTTTACTAGAACCTCTTTCTATCTCTCCAACAAGCTGCCCTATGGGTATCGATTGGTCAGCTTGTGGAGAGTACTTACCGGGCTGCCTCAAAGACCGCGATGTGATATCAGTAGTGTTACATCGAAAAAAAAAAAAAAAAAAAAAAACACCAATATTGCCAAAATTACTTTCCGTACACATGACCTTCCCTTTTGATCTACAATGCTTCCTGTTCGACCATACCAACCTCCTCCCTGTCAATTTCAAAACTGTTCGCGTTTTGGACATCCTGCCAAACTGCCGTTCCACAGCCCGATACACCCTATGCGCCCAACCCGGTCATAACAGATCAAACTGCCCTGCACAAACACGCACATGTGCAAACTGCGGTGGCCCCCATAATGTTTTTTTATAGAGGCTGTCCCACTTACAAGTTTGAGTCTGAGGTAGCAACTCTGATACAAAACTAGTCTCACTCTGCTTGAAGCCAGACAAGAAGCACGCCGACAAGGTTTGGTATTATTGGAAAAAGGCGTCACCATTGAATCGACCAAAACTGACCTTATAGCCTTGAAGATATTTAATTAACAATCACTTTTCATTTAATAAATTTGTCTCGCAAATTAATAATAACAAAGTTATTTAATTTCTAAAATAAATAATAATAATAACACGAGGTGAGATTCGCACGGGAGCTGCGGGAATAGACCGAATTCTCCACTGCGCATGCGCGGGGTCTCTCCTACCCGTACTGTTCCTGTTATCTCGCCTGTGACGTCACGGCCAGTGTCACGATTTCATTGGTCAACTGTTTGGCGGTTAATTTAATAGCCAATGGGAAAAGAATTCACAAAGGAAACAGCAAATGAATGAACATTAGCGTCGCTCGTGCTCACGCAGACCTCTCCAGCGCTTCCGCTCCCGCAAGCCGCTCGACTGATACGACGACCCTCACCCCGGCCCCTCCTCTGCATAGGTATGTTTTAGGTTTATTTTCACTGAAGTGACTAAATTTACGGTGCTTCGCGTGCGTACGAAGCGCCTGATGCCGACTTTGTCCGACGCTCTCTCCTGCCGTGAATAGGTGGATGATTTTTTTTTTTTTTTTTTTTGCAGCAGGATAGGAAAGAGAGGAGACAGTGGGACAAGCTAGCTGGAGCTTAGGAATAGAAGGTCGGAAATGAAGCAGAGAGAGAGGTAGAAGTAGTAGGCAGACCTACTTGCTGCTTATTTAAATTTTATTAACAAAATTATTTACAAAATAAAGTTTATATACAAGTCTAGTTGTGGTGGTTTGCGCATTCGGAAATGCTGCTTTTCCTAGACGTTTGTTGCGTAGTCCGGCATCGGCTCTCCGCTCTCGATGTAGGGGATATTCGCCTCCACCACGAGTGGTCGTTCTCAAGAGGGTTGTTCTCTTCGAGTGATCGTGCCGTCAGTTCTTCGTCTATGGTTTCTAGTTTGTCCCAGACTTTTCTTGCCAAGTTGTAGAGTCTGATATTTATTGCCTCCATTTTGTACTTGTGCAATTCTGCTATTGATAGATTATCTTCATCGTTCCTCCTTGTTGCTGTCCAAAGGACTGTTTTGAAATTGTTGCATCTTGGTTATGTTAGTTTTCGATGAGATGCACAGGAGAATGGCCGGGTACTCCATGATTGGTCTAATAAGGGTTTTATAAAAGTGGAGCTGTATTTTTTAACTCATTTTCGCAAATCGTTTGAGTTTCGTGTACTGGAACTTGGCCGTTGCAAGTCTTCGTTTTATAAGTGATGATACTCCGCGTGTACCAAATTCCATGCCGAGTACTGTGACTTTGTTTTTGAATGGTATTCTTTCGTTGTCAACTACTACTTCCCTTGGTTTTGTTGCTGATATTGATAGTAGTTGGAATTTGTTTTTGTTGGTCTAGATCTTCCATTTATTCTCAAAGTCATTTATTCTTCGTATTTCGTTCGCCGTTGTTGTTGCTAATGCCTCTTTCTTGGTTAAAGGGTATATTATGATCTGGGTGTTATCGTCTGCAAAACTCACATCTACACAATTGTTCCTGGGTCTTTCGAGGTCAGCTGTGTAAAATATGAATAATGTTGGGCTCAATATTGATCCTTGAGGCATGCCACTTAGGGGAACTTAGGTCCTACTATGTTCCCTATCTTTAGTGTTGCCGTGCGGTCTTCTAAAAAGTTGCTAAGGATTTTTTCGATGATGTCTGGAAGATTTATTTGTAGAATTTTGAAGTGGAGTCCTGATTTCCAAAGTTTGTCAAATGCTTTTGCTATGTCACGACATACAATGTTACATTGCTGTCTCTTTCTTTGGGATATTGCTACAGTTTCGTATATGGAAGTTATAGCCTGTTGTGTTCCTCTTCCTTTCCTGAATCCATACTGATTTGGGTTGAATAGACTGTTGTTTTCCGTGTGCCTTTTCACTCTGTCATTAATTAGTTTTTCGAAGATCTTACCAGGTATTTCTAAAAGGGATATTGGTCTATAATTTTCAACTTTTTGGGGTCTTTTCCTGCTTTTGCTATGAAGACCATTATGGCATTTTTAAATTTTGTTGGAAAATAGCCCATTGATAAAGCCCATTTGAAAATTGTTTTCATTTCTGCAATGGGAACATCCGGGAGATGCTGCATTACAGTCTTTCTTACTCCACTTTGGCCGGGGGCTTTATCCTTGAAGTTTTTAATTATAGACTTGATATCCCCTGTTGTGATGGGTCTTGTGAGAGGGTTATCATTGCTAAGTTTGATTGCTTGTGCTTCTCTATAGGGAAGAAGTCTGTATCTATTATTTGAGAGGTACTCTTGCACCATAGCTTCGTGTTGCATATCGAAATTGCGGTTATCTTCATCATTGATTTCGAAACGTTTTCCCAGAATCTTCGAAAAACCTCCTCCTTCTCTTGATCGTCTGATATTTTCTCATTGTTGGCGCTTAAGATGTAGGGTGTTTCTTTGCGGTTGCTTCCCTTTAGTCGTTTTACTTTTTTCCAGAACTTTTTAGGGTTATTATACTCTATTTCTGTTTCCTCCATAAGTTTGTTCCAGTGGTTTGTGGCTAATGTTTTGCTTTCCTCCTTCATTTCTTTCTGGAGTTGCTTATATTGGGTACGTAGAAGAGGCGTCCATCCAAGATGTTCTTTTATCTCCAAGATGTTTCTGTATCTCCATGTTAGTAGCTTAAGGTGGTTGCTTGTCAAGGGGTGAGGCAGTTATGTAATTTTTCTTGGGTATTGCTTTGTTCATTGCACTTTCAATCGTTGCATACCAGCTATCGATTTTATTGTCAATGTATTCTTTATTAACTGTGAGCTCTTCTTCTGTAGGTAGGTCCATATGTTGTTCCATATCTCTTTTGAATAGTTCCCAGTCCGCCCTTTTATAGTCATACATTTTTGCTTGCGGGATCATGATGGGTGACGTCGCCAGGGTGAAGATAATAGGAATGTGATCCGATGTTGTTAGTGGACCTTCTTGTATGGCATAATTCATGTGTATATTTCTATTTCCTATTATGATGTCTGGTCTTCCTTTTCCTCTCACACTTACAAAAGTGTTGAAGTCTGGTCCAAGGTGGGTGATTATGTTGCGATGGATCAGGTTAATTAATTCGCTGCCCATTAGATTATTATTACTTTGTCCGAGTGAGCGATGCCGGGTTCAGTTCAGTTCAGTTAGATTTGCGGTCATGCTTCGCCCGGGCCTTTTCTCTGGAGTGGCCCGGCCTGTTAATTATTTCTAGTTAACTCAGATGTTTTCTTTGAACTGCATGCTTACCGTGGTGGCTGGATTGCAAGCAAGCGATCCAGCTGCCACGGTGAAAGCATGTTGCACACCCTTTTTACCAGCCCGGCGGCTGTGGTGAGTGGTCCCTGCCTCAGAAATTGTGTGTGTACACAATTCTGCAAGTAATGTAACAGGGTGGCGTTAGGCTCGCCGCAGTGTTTACATAACCTCCCAGTCTCACTGTCAATAATTTGCCAAGCGCATTGGTAACCTAGTCTTAGTCTGAATAGTATGACTTCGGTACCTCTTTTTGTATTTGGATGAAGGGCCAGTGGCTCATAGCCTAAAGCATCTGAGAACCACTTGGCAGCGAGCGATTTTGTGATGTTTTCTCTATGTGCTCCCCGGAGGACCGCACACGCTGCAGCTTTGGTACCTTGGCTCAGTCCCCTTCGGCTAGGTTTAACGATCATGGAGGATGCCCTTTTCGGCTAGTTTATCAGCAAGCTCGTTCCCTTGTATGCCTATATGGCTTGGGACCCAGTTTATGATGATTCTTCTACCTTGACTAAGGATTCTTTGGGCTATGTATAGTACTGTTGTCAAGAGGTAGATGTTATCTGGGGGCATGCTATGCTGTAAGCTGTCAATAGTTGCTCTTGAATCTGTATGAATGACAACGTGCCCTCCCCTCAGGGACGCGTGTGTCAATGCTTCCATGATCGCAACCGTTTCAGCCTGAAGCATTGAGGCATTGTCAGTGACCCTAATGGATGCTGTGGTATCCTTTGTTGCAAAGCCGGCGCCTGCAGTATGGTTTATTGGATCCACGGATCCGTCCGTGTAGTAAGTTATACTACCCGGCGGAGTTATTTGTTCAATGACCCTTTGTGCTTGTGCCTTTAGGCTAGGCATGGAATATTGATCCATACCCTTGGCAAGCAATGAATCTTTTAGTTGAAAGCGTATCAAAACTCTGGCTGTATGAGCCAGGAATTGTCTGCAAACAACTGGTAATCTTATTGTAGGCGTCTGAGAACTCTTTGTCTTAGATAGGAGGTTGTGGGTGCCTGCAGGACCTTGGAAAGGAACTGTGCTGCCATTAGATCTATTCTAGTGTCCATGGACGGTAAATCAGCTTCCATGAGGAGGTTGATGACCTTTGTCCACTTAGGTGCACCTAGAATTATCCTGGCTGCTTCGTTTTGTATTGTTTCCAGTTTTTCTTTTAATGTTGTGCTGGAAGCAATGAGGGCGACAGATGCATAGTCAATAATAGGACGGACAGCATGTACATAGAATGATCTTAGTACTTTGTGTCCTGCTCCTATGTGTCTCCCTGTCATGACTTTCATGACTGACAGTCTTTCCTTGGTTCTGTCAAGCAGGTATTGGATCTCCTTTTTGAAAGTGAGTGTGTGTCCTATCCATACTCCAAGGTATAGATAATCCTTCACCCATTCCAGATCCATACCCTGTATAGTGAGTTTTTTATTTCTGACATTGGTTCTCAGTGCCATTGCTTTGGATTTTGCTGCTGATATTTTTAGACCCGTCCTATAACACTCTTCAGACACCAGGTTCAGACAACGCTGAGCTCTAGTAAGGCAGTGATTGCCAGAGGCTATGATTGCCAAGTCATCTGCATAAGAGATGATTTTGCATCCCTCTGGCAGGTGAATGTCGAGTATGTTGGACATGAGGGTATTAAAGGGCTTGACTAAGAACCCCTCCCTGAGGAGTTCCATTTTCAAGTGGCATGTGCTGTGAGAGGTGGCCTTGAAATCTGACATTTGCTTATCTATTTTTAAAATAGTCAGCTATCCAGGCCAAGAGTCTGCCTTTGACTCCTTTGTGGATTAGGGTCTCTTGAATGGCAAGTGGACTTGCCAACTCAAAAGCCTTCTCCAGGTCAAGGAAGACAGCCACGGCGGGCGAGGTGCAGATTGCGCTTAAGAGTGTGGAAATGCTATGAGCAGTGCTCTTACCCCTTGTGAACCCATGCAGGTGTTCATGGGGGGGGACCCGTTTTCCATCGGAGCCTGTTGAGTACCATCTTTTCAGCTGTTTTACCCAGGCAGCTGAGAAGAGAGATGGGACGGTACTTGTTAGGCTCCTTTGGCTTCGGGATGGGAACTATTGTGGCTTGTTTCCAGCTCTGGGGCACCGTGGCTGTTTGCCAGGATTTGTTGATAACCTGCAAGAATGCAAGTTCTCCTGCAAGGCCTAGTTGCGAAATGATGGGGTGAGAGATCCCATCAGATCCCGGTGCTGACCCAGAACTGGATTTGTATGATTTTCTTAGTTCCCTAAGAGAGAGCAAGGCATCTGTTTCATCAGCTTCGAGTGCCTTGTCTCTTATGAGACAAGGATTTAAGTTTTGTTGTTTTTCTCTCATCATTGGAGGCAGATTGTTGGTGCTGGTTCTGGCAGAGAACTCAAGCACCAATCTGTTAGCCTCTGATTGTGGGTCATGATGAGTGCATTCCGGGGCTTGGCGACTTGTCGCTTGCCTGACCCGTTTCCACAACTCTGTAAGGCTGGTCTGGTGCCCAAAAGATTGGCACCATTCCAGCCATTTTTCCTGCCTTACTCTGTTGGCAGTTTCCGTGGCATCCACAACAGCTTCCCTCAACAGGGCCATATTGTCGGGAGATCTTTGCCGTCGGAAGTTTTTTCTACACATATTAACCCTGTGGTTGACCTCTTTGATCTCGTCATTATAGTACCAGGCGTCTTTGTGAGTTCTGGACCATGGGCGAGTTTTGGGAATGGTTTGTGAGGCTGCCTGGTTTATGGCCTGGATTAGCCTTGCCTCTAGCACATCCACGTTTCTTTCAGACATCGAGCCAAGCCTTCCTGGAAGGCAAACCAGTTGGCCTTGTCAGTTTTCCATTTAGGAATGTGATGTGGTCTTTGGGCTGGACCTGCATCCATTAGTGTGG